GGCCACTTTTAGAAATTCGGATACTAGAAAAGTTAATCCAGCAGCAAAATTTTTTCATGAGTTTTCAAGTAATGAAATAAAAGACCACAGATATACGTTTTCAACGGAGTGAGATTACAAAACTAGAAATTGGCCAATTTTTTATTTTGTCTTTCACCATTGTATCAGGAAAATTTTGAGCTTCCCCTAGACTTAAATCGTTACGCCGCCCCTGATTGGAAATACTCTCTAGTTGATTGTTCTGTCGATCATATCTTATATGGATATACTTATTGTCTTATTTATTCAATACCATTTAAAATGACTCGTTTCATACGTCTTACTAATAGTTTTAGTGGTCATCATTTTCAATTTGTTCTAGATTTGATATTATACGATACACGTCCATTTCTACGTCATGCAATTACATATGTTCCATGTTTTCAGAAACTTGTGACACAATATGAAAAATTAGTGACTGTTACGAACAACTTTACAAATGATGCAACACGACTCAATTGTAATCAATCCGAACAAACAAAATATTTAATGAAGTAATTCTCTATTTTTCTTGTTTGATAAAATAACTTTGCTAGCAAATTATCTATCATTTGAATAAAATGCATAAAATTAATATATCTAATTGACATGTTTGATAGAATAGATAAAAATCTATGTATCTGTCACGTCGTTTACTTTAGAAAATCAGCATTTATGAATTTATTTCTGAGTAATTTTTTCATTTATTTATCTACAAATTATATTTTCTTGTACTTATTCAACAATCGAGATAGAGACAATGTATTTTCTATCATTTGAAGTGTCGTTAAAGCGTTATGCTATTAATCATAGAAACGATTAACAGTCGTAGCTGCTCATCACATTTCTCAATCGACTCAAACTTGAATGACATCTGGTCTATTTCTATGATTGGAACTGAAATTTTTAATTTACCTTGTTGCTATTCATTCGTTTTTTTTCTTTTTCGTATTCGGTTATTCCTAATTTAACATTATTATTATTATATCTATAGTAGGTAGAGATGCAGAATCTACCCGTGTGTGCACCGATCGTTCCGAGAAATGTTAGGACATTTATGAGTATCCGAGGATATTTTTTTATAAAAAATAATGAATGTTTTGTAGTGTACATACCGCACTTCTATTTTCTATCTTTGAGAAATTTAATATTCTATCGAATTTTAGTTCTGATCTCGTTGTATAAAGAATTTGTTTTTCGGATTTCTTGTTTTCTACGAATAAAAAACAGTAGAAGATAGATAATTTTTCGCTCTACATACTCGCCATCTTAGCATGATTCGGAGATTATCAAAAAAATGATCTAATCACAAGTCAGACTCATTCTATAAACTGCTGATTCTCAATCGAAAACAATAGCTCAGATTTGACCAGAACCAGCTTTTTTTCGGTATTTCGATATTTTCTGCTTCGAAACTTTCACTCCTACAGAGATAGGTTCGTTTTTAAATAGTCTATAACTTTTTCGCATTTGTACGAAAGAGTAGGCATCAATCGTGCGAACTTTTCTTTCAAGCGTAAAATTAGTCGAAAAACGCCGTCGACAGTAAATTCGGCACTTATAGTGCGTCATATGGACATGACATTTTTTTTGCGAATAAACAGCTGTTTTGTCTCTAGAATTGTTCTTCATAAGCCTAATACACGATCAAAAGTAGAATCATGATTAGATTATATATGGTTCAATGCAGTTTCTTGTGCTAATTTTGCATATGATCTTTTTATTGAATAAAAAGGTTTCAGAGTCAAAAAAAAATAGAAAATACTTGAAAAACCTTGAGTTCTTGAAAGCTTCCTTGTAAAACCCAAGAACATTTATGCTGATTATAGTAATAAAAGAAGTATGTAGGGCAGATTGTGAAGAGGGCACTCATTTGATTCTCAGGAAAGATCAATAATAATTGAACACTTATTTTTGTTAATCAGTAGCTGACATTATGCAAATTTATACTATGCATTGTTTTTAATCGTCACTTCAGTGGATCTGTAAAACAAAAAGATAAATTATACAGATGGTACTATTTTCAGGCTAACTTTTAATTAGTTTATCTTCCATTCTACTTGAATTTTGTAGCAAAAAGTAAAATATGATAGATGTTGATATTCCACAGATTAGTTTTCATACAGCTGACTAAAAGGTTTTTGAGACTTGTGGTCCCTCACAGGAATTGCTGGAAAACTTTTTATTTTTTATTCTGTTCAAAGAACATATTCATTGATCGAGTCAAATGTGGATTTGTCCGCCATCTCAGATAATCTGTCTGTAAGCTTTGAACCTTCATTCAGTTTTGATATAAATATTTTTTGACTTCTGTATTCGTTGCGATCGGTTGTGTTATCTATACAGTTAACATAGAAAGAAATGTCCCACCTTCACATATCGCAAATATTGCGTATGTTCGAGAGCTGTATTCGAAGGTAATTTTGTTTTTGATTTTTTAAGTTCAGCATCTGATGAAAAATTGTAAACGACGTATTCAGTTCAAATTTCACATTGCTTCTAATCTTCTAACAGAAGTTTTGGAAAATAAAAATCTTCGTGGAAAATCGATAAAAGCAGATTTTGGACAGAGAATTGTTATTTTTATGGCTAATCATGCTCCCGAGGAATTTGTATACTGCATATTCGAGTTAACTACGTTGTTTTAGCTATTAAAAATCCTTTTCTCATGATGTTAGAATAATCAATGAAGAAGAAACATGAACAAAAGAAGTGGATATACAACAACAGATATAATCAGTACAATTGGCTGTATGAATGACTATCTGTATGAATAGAGTAGTCAAAGATAAATATTGCAGAACAATAAAAAGAAAGTCAAGTTTGTTTAGGGGCAGAAAAATGGTCTTATCTGCCCGTCTTTTGTTCTTGTTTTCGTATTTGCTCTCAACAAAACTACAAAATCTTATATTTATCTCTTTCATTTTCACCGAGATGAACCTTTGGTTTTATTTCGTATGCACTGTTTTTTCACATAACAATAATAACAAAACAAATAACAAGAAAAAAAAATCATCTGACACACAGCCACTATCAGCAATGGGAAAAAGAAAGAAAAACACATCTGACATACACATACACACACACGTATATATCGTTTCACTAGCACCGGCTTCTGTTTTCACATAATCTGCTTACTAAATATAAACGAAAACAAACAAAAGAAAAAAAAAATAAGATAAGTAAAATATAGCTTCTGTTCTTTATATTCTATTGTATTATTCTTCATCATTATCATCTTCATTTTGTTGAGGTTCTTCTTCATAAATAGCGTAATCCTGTACTTGATATTGAGCTATTGATTCAATTATAAATTCTGGCGAGCAAAATCTTATACCTAATTCAACACATTTCCAATATTTATCTTGACGTTCTTGAACATATGATTGTTCACAAAGAACAACAATCATTTTACCTTGTGCTGTCCATCGTGTTACTTGATCTGTACGTAATGATAAACATGTATGACCACCGCACAAAGTTATTAATGTACGTAATTCTTGATTATCCATTAACTAAATATAATCAAATTTTAAAAAGACAGAAAGAAAATTTTGTCTACTAATACTAATTACTTTCTCAAGTGAAACATTTCTAGTGAACTTTTGTTGTTTTTCAAGAGCTATCGGCAGGATATGACAGTCTTTTTTTTCCAAAATTCGTACTTTTTAAGGAAAGATTTCAGGATCGAAGTCTCGGTTATGGCCTTCGTAAATCTAATATGGTAACAGTCCCAATCTAACGAAAACTATTCCAGAATTTATTCGTATCACATCTAAAAATTCTTCAATACTTGTTTTTGTATTTAGTCGACAACTAGCACTTTTTGGAACATCTCTCTTGATCTCGCACATCTTGAATACGTATTTTTATCTGCACAAAAATCAACAACTTCACTACTGAGAACATTTACAAACGTATTTCAGCCATTCAAATTTTGAGAAAAGACTTTGGAATGTTTTAGAGCGATCTAACGAGGGAACCTCAAAACTTACACTCACTATACTTTTTTTCTTCGAAAAAAGAAATTATTCAAAATGATATTTACATTTTGTACACCATTACATTTAAGCATAAATATGTGTTTAGAAAATAATGAATGTCTTCGTGGAATAAGACGTGAACGTTGCATACCACCATGATACATTGTTGAACATGTTAAATCACCACGTATTTCAAATTGTAAAGATAATTCATCTAGTAAAAGTTTATCACAATGAAGACATTCATCAATCCAACGTATTGATAAAACAGTTAAATGACGTGCTAATGCATGAACAACTTTTGATGATAAAGCACAAACAAATGGAATTGTTGTATCATCAGTTATTAAATGTGTTGTTTTTTCATCGATTTCATCCGAATAATGAATATTAAAACGTTGAAGAAATTGATCAAGACGATCCTGATTGAAACAATCGATTCATAACAATAATAATAATTGGTTTTTCTTTTTTTTTCGATTCTTCTTACCATTTGTTCATCAGTGAGGCGAGAGGCAGTTATTGAAATTGATTTTTTAGCCAAAATATAATCATCAGCATGACTATCAATTGAACTAGCAGATGAACATGCTTGATTAGACTAAATATATAAAAAAAAAAGAAGCAAATACACAATTTTTATTCTTTATCTATGATCTTACATCGGATGTTGCAGTTGACTCATCTATAGTTGTTGATGTATTAGGTAAAATTGATTGAACAGGTGGTACTAAGATTATAAGAAAAAAAGACAAACAAATTCGATTTTCTTATAATACGAAACATGTATCATACTATTTTGAGTTGAATCATATCGACATCGTTTAAGAAGAACCCATTCATCTGACTTTCGACGTTTATTACTATTATTATTGACTAGAGTTGTAGAGGATATTTGCGACGATTGTTTGTTTACAGATGTTGATGCTAAATCATATAAGAATAATATGATATATATGACTAATTTATTGATTAATAGAGTAAATAGATAAGAAATACTCATAAGAATATTTTTCGAACACATACAAAATGGGCATCCTTTTATTTTACGACGAAATTCAAAGCAAAAATTAGTGCTTGCATTTGAAAGGATATCATATCTATGGTTTTAAGAGAGCAATTGGCGGTGCAGCGAATGGTATATAAGATATCAACGTTAAAGTCAGACTCTGATGTATGTGGTATTCACTATATGGTATTTATTAGTAGCACAGCATTACTGATCAACTGATAAAAGTAACTTTTTTAATAAATAAAAAAACAAAATTTTGGCCTCCAGATCCCTGGAGGGGACTACAGAAACATGAAAAATAGTTTTGACATGAACATAAGAAATTTAGACTAGTCTAGAGTTTTATTCATAAAGCAAACCTGAATATTCTAAATAAAACTTTGAAAAAGAAATAATACAAATAGCAGATTTCTTTCCTGTCACCTTATTTCCGTATTCGCTGCCAACGGTCTGGAGGCTAATCAATTTGTTTTTCTATTTATAAAAGAGTTATTTATATCAGTTTGTCGGGAATGCTGTGTTGATTATAGGTATATAATAGTTTTCAAAAGGATCATTCTGTATTGTTAAAATAATGTCAAGATGTAATCTAGATCTAAGAAAAACGAATCATCTTTAAGCATGAAGAAAACTATTCATTATAGGTGATTGAAGAGAAACTATAACTGTATCGAACTCAGTTTAAAAACTAAATTTGCATCATATTATCATAAGAACCACAATATCTATGAGTGTCATCTATATTCTTCAAATATGATAACCAATGTATGCACTCATAGCACATGAAAATTTGAGTCAATGTTAATTTCTTATATACCATTCAATGCGCGCCAAAATGCTCCAATAATATTAATATCACTTACAATTTGGTTGTGCTGTTTTTCGTCGCCAATCTATTTAGAATTCAAACAAAAAAGAAATACATCATTAAACAAATCAATAACCTACTTTTAAGACCAAGAGTTAAAGGTGTTTCAATAGCTACAAATAAGATAAAATAATTTTCATTCTCAGAAAATTTCAATATTAATAAATATACTAACAACATCGAATTTTTGATGGTATCTTTGTTGTTGCTGTTGTTGTTGCCTTTGATGATGCAGTATCAGTTGCTGATTGTTGAATTAATTGTCTACGTTTTGATTCATTAACAGTTATACCTGATGTTTGATGATAATGTCCAACACAAAGACTTCTATAAGCAACAAATGCCTGACATTCTTCTCCACCATCATATTTACATAATTGTCTCCAAACTCGCCCATTAAATCTTTGTCTTTCAATGGAACCGTCACGTCGAACATGTACACGAATTTGATCTTTATCAGGTAAATTTGACGATGTACTTGCTGTTGTCGTCATATTTTGTTTATTATTAGACCTCTTTTTTTTTAAAACTATTATCTATTACAATAAAAGAATAAAGTTACAAGTCAAGCAAATAATAGAGCTCATTCTTAATCAAATATATCTTGATTTATTTTTTTTTTGTACACAAAAAATATTTGATATAAAAACGATAAAACAAAATACAGTAGTAAATTTCAATTATAACGGAGTTTCTTCGTATAACGAAAATGATTTTGGACGATATTCAAGTATGGATTCAAGAACCCAATCGGATGAAACAAAATGTATACCTAATGAACGACATTGATCATAATTATGACGTCGTTCTGATACATATAATTTATCACAGAGAACAACAATTTCAAATTGATCAAGTAAACCTTGTGTCACACATGTTATTATTCGTCCACCACATGTTGTTATTAAATCTTGTAAACGATCATTTGTCATTTTAATTTCATTATTTTCCGTACATTTAATCATAAAACATATATTTTCAAAAAGTGACTGACGTTTATCAATTGAACGTGAACGTTTTGGACCACCTTGAGAATGATAATCTGTATCATCACCTTCAATTTCATATGCACTTTCATNATTATAGATATATAACAGTTTTCGAAAGGACTGTTCCGTATTGTTAAAATATCGTCAAGATATAATCTAGATCTAAGAAAAACGAATCATCTTTAAGCATGAAGAGAACCAATAACTGTATCGAGTTCAGTTGAAAAACTAAATTTGCATGATTTTATCTTAAGAACCACAATATCTATATTCTTCAAAGATGATAGCCAATTTATGCACTTAGAGCACATTAAAATCTGAGCCAATGTTGATTTCTTATATACCATTCAATACGCGCCAAAATGCTTTAATAATATTAATACTACTTACAATTCGGTTGTGCTGTTTTTCATCGCCAATCTATTTAGAATTCAAACAAAAAAGATATATATCATTAAACAAATCAATAACCTACTTTTAAGACCAACAGTTAAAGGTGTTTCAATAGCTAAAAATAAAATAAAATAATTTTCATTCTAAGAAAATTTCGATATTAATTAGAATACTAACAACATCGAATTTTTGATGGCATCATTGTTGTTGCCTTTGATGATACAGCAGCAGTTGCTAATTGTTGAATTAATTGTCTACGTTTTGATTCATTAACAGTTATACCTGATGTTTTATGATAATGTCCAACATAAAGATTTCTATCAGCAACAAATGCCTGACATCCTTCTCCACCATCATATTTACATAATTGTCTCCGAACTCGTCCATTAAATTTTTGTCTTTCAATCAAACCGTCACGTCGAACATGTACACGAATTTGATCTTTATCAGATAAATTTGACGATGTACTTGCTGTTGTCGTCATATTTTCTTTATTATTAGACCTCTGCTTTTTTAAAATTATTATCTATTACAATAAAAGAATAAAGTTAGAAGTCAAGCAAATAATAGAGCTCACTCTTAACCAAATATATCTTCATTTATATTTTTTTTGTACACAAAAAATATTTGATATAAAAACGACAAAACAAAATACATTAGTAAATTTCAATTATAATGGAGTTTCTTCATATAACGAAAATCGGATGAAACAAAATATATACCTAATGAACGACATTCATCATAATTATGACGTCGTTCTGATACATAATTTATCACAGAGAACAACAATTTCAAATTGATCAAGTAAATTCCTTGTGTCACGCATGTTATTATTCGTTCATCACCTGTTGTGATTAAACCTTGTAAACGTACATTTGTCATTTTAATATCATTATTTTCCGTACATTTAATAATAAAACATATATATTCAAAAAGTGACTGACGTTTATCAATTGAACGTGAACATTGTGGACCACCTTGAGACTGATAATCTGTATCATCACCTTCAATTTCAAATGCACCTTTATCAACAATTCGATCATATTTAATATAATCAATTAACCAACGATATGAAACACAAAAATAATGATTAGCTTTAGTTTCAATTAATTTTATTGATAATGGTGAACGTAATGTATGNAAAAAAAAAGAAAATATACAATTCATATTCTTCATCTATGATCTTACATCGGATGTTGCCGTTGACTCATCTATAGTTGTTGATGTATTAAGTAAAATTGATTGAACAGGTGGTACTAAGATTATTAGAAAAAAAGACAAACAAATTCGATTTTCTTATAACACGAAACATGTATCATACTATTTTGAGTTGAATCATATCGGCTTCGTCTAAGAAGAATCCATTCATCTGACTTTCGACGTTTATTGCTATTATTATATTGACCAGAGTTGTAGAGGATATTTGCGATGATTGTTTGTTTACAGATGTTGATGCTAAATCATATAAGAATAATATGATATATATGACTAATTTATTGATTACTAGAGCAAAGGGATGAGAAATACTCCTAAGAATATTTTCCGAACAGATATAAAATGGGCATCCTTTTATTTTAGGATGAAATTCAAAGCAAAAATTAGTGCTTGCATTTGAAAGGATATCATATCTATGGTTGTGAGAGAGCAATTGACGGCGCATCGAATGGTGTATAAGATATCAACGTTAAAGTCAGATTCTGATGTATATGGTATTCACTATATGGTATTTATTAGTAGCACAGCATTGCTGATTAACTGATAAGTAACTTCTTTAATAAATAGAAAAAAAAATTGACCTCTAGGTACATGAACATAAGAGATTTAGAGACTCGTGTAGAGCTTTATGTATAAAGCAAACCTGAATACTCCAAACAAAACTTTGAAAAAGAAGTAATACAAATAGCAGATTTCTTTCCTGTCACCTTATTTTCGTATGCACTGCCGATGCTGTGCTGATGATAGATATATAACAGTTTTCAAAAGGACCGTTCCGTATTGTTAAAATATCATCAAGACATTATCTAGATCTAAGAAAAACGAATCATCTTTAAGCACGAAAAGAACAAATAACGGTATCGAATTCAGTTGAAAAACTAAATTTGCATGATTTTATCTTAAGAACCACAATATCTATATTCTTCAAAGATGATAGCCAATTTATGCACTTAGAGCACATTAAAATTTAAGCCAATGTTGATTTCTTATATCCCATTCAATGCGAGCGAAAATGCTTTAATAATATTAATACCACTTACAATTCGGTTGTGCTGTTTTTCGTCGCCAATCTATTTAGAATTCAAACAAAAAAGAAATATATCATTAAACAAATCAATAATCTACTTTTAAGACCAACAGTTAAAGGTGTTTCAATAGCTAAAAATAAAATAAAATAATTTTCATTCTAAGAAAATTTTGATATTAATAATAATACTACCAACATTGAATTTTTGATGGTGTCATTGTTGCCTTTGATGATACAACAGCAGTTGCTGATTGTTGAATTAATTGTCTACGTTTTGATCCATTAACAGTTATATCTGATGTTTGATAATAATGTCCAACACAAAGACTCCTATAAGCAACAAATATCTGACATTCTTCTCCACCATCATATTTGCATAATTGTCTACAAACTCGTGTATTAAATCTTTGTTCTTCAATCAAACCGTCACGTCGAACATGTACACAAATTTGATCTTTATCAAGCAAATTTAACGATGTACTTGCTGTTGTCGTCATATTTTTTTTTTATTATTACACCACTGTTTTTTTTTTAAATTATTATCTATTACAATAAAAGAATAAAGTTAGAAGTCAAACAAATAATAGAGCTCATTCTTAACCAAATATATCTTGCTTTATATTTTTTTTGTATACAAAAAATATCTGATAAAAAACGACAAAACCAAATAAATAAGTAAATTTCAATTATAATGGAGTTTCTTCATATAACAAAAATCGGATGAAACAAAATATATACCTAATGAACGACATTGATCATAATTATGATGTCGCTCTGACACATATAATTTATCACAGAGAACAACAATTTCATATTGATCAAGTAAACCTCTTGTGTCACGCATGTTATTATTCGCCCATCACCTGTTGTGATTAAATCTTGTAAACGATTATTTGTCATTTTAATATCATTATTTTCCGTACATTTAATCATAAAACATATATTTTCAAAAAATGAATGACGTTTATCAATTGAACGTGAACGTTTTGGACCATCTTGAGAATGATAATCTGTATCATCACCTTCAATTTCATTTGCATATTTATCAACAATTCGATCATATTTAATATAATCAATTAACCAACGATATGAAACACAAAAATAATGATTAGCTATAGCTTCAATTAATTTTATTGATAATGGTGAACGTAATGTATGTTTATCATCATTTGTTATTAAATGCGTTGTTTGAGTAACACGAGATGAAAATTTTCGTAGAAATTCATCAACTATATCCTAGAATATTTCAATATGATTATATATTGAATATTGT